ACCTTTAACAAAGAAGCTAGAAGCATAGTTGGAGAAAAGATAACCTATTTAACAAATGGTGCTAGGAAAACTTATGTGTTTGCAGAAGATTGAAAATGGACCTATATCTCTCTCACCGTGTACTAAACTAAAATTGAAATGAATCAAAGATCTAAACATTAAAATGGAAACATTGAACCAACTGGAGGATAAAATGGGTAAAACACTTAAGTGGCTGTGGTGGCACATGTCTGTCATCCCAACATTTGGGAGGCCAAGACAGGAAGATTGCCATGATTTTGAGCCCAGCTCAGGCTACATAGTGATTTCAAGGCCAGTGTGAAGTACACAGTGAGACCCTGTCTCAAAACTAACAACAAAACAAAACAAAAGACAAAAAAACCACACAAAAAGGTAAAAAATGCAAAGAAATAGGTGTGGGAAAATTTTCCTGAACAGAACCACAATTGCACAAGAAATAACAGCAAGAATCAATAAATGAGATTGAATTAAATTAAAATTAAATCAAATTAAAATTAAAAAAGCTTCTGCACAGCAAAGGAGTGAATTAGTAGAGGGAAGAGACAACCTACAGAATGGGAAAAAAGTTTCACCAGCTATTCCACAGAGGACTAATAATCTAGACTATATAAAGAGCTAAAAAAAAAAAAAAAGACAGCTTAAAATAAAAAATCCAAACAAGAAATAGGCAAGTGAAATGAACAAACATTTCTCAGAGGAGGAAGTACAAATGGCCAACAAATACATGAAAGAATGTTTAACATCCCTGGCCATTAGAGAAATGCAAATTAAAACAACACCAAGATTCCATCTTACTCCAGAAAGAATGGGAATCATCAAGAAATAAAAAATAGCAAATGCTAGTGTGGCTGTGGTTAAAATGGGACCCTCCTACATTGCTGGTGTGAATGTAAACTGGTACAACCATTGTGGAAATCAATATAAAAATTCCTCAAAGAACTAAAATTACAAATTCCATATGACCCAGCCATTCCCCTTCTAGGTCTTCCCTGAAGAGCTAAAGATATGATTCTACTGTGATACATTCATACTAGTGTTTATAACAGCACAATTCATAATAACTAAATCCTGGAAGCAGGCTGTATATACCTCAATAGGTAATTGAATAAATAAAATGTGGTATCTATATGTAATGGAATATTATTTGGATATAAAGAAGAACAAATTTGAGATAGTTGGAGGAAAATGGATGCATCTGGAAAATGTTGAGTGAAATAAATTATACACATGCTTAAATACCATATAGTATCTCATTTTAAGAGGACAAAGAACATACAAACAGCACAATAAAGGATGGATAGAAGGAGAAAAGGGATAGTTCTCTTTCAAATGGGAAGAGGTCTAAGAGAATGTGAGCAAGAAGAGAGGGAGGAGAAGGGGAAAATAAGTAAAAGATATACCACGTACAGTACAGGAACCTAATAATCTAAATGAATGTAAACATATGTCTTAAACATGAAATAAGATTAATAATAACAATAAAATGGGGAAAAGGGATTTAGAGACAGGGAGGGAGGTGGGAGGGAAGTGGAAGGGAATTAAAGATTCAAACTATATTGTGTACACATATCAATGCCTCAAGATGAATGTAAACTGCATGTACTGCAAACATGTACTAATAAATTAAATGACAATATAAAATGTATAAATAAATATGAAAAGAAAAGTAACTCAAAGTTGAATGTAGTCTTAAATATAAAACACAAAGCTCTAAAACTCCTGGGAGATAACACAGGAGAAACCCTAGGGTGTGATAATGATATTTTAGTTACAAACCAAAGGCAGGATCCATGAAAGAAATAACTTTAATAACTTCTTAAAAGTGAAAAGTTCTCCTCTGTGAAAGACACTATAAAAAGAAACCACGGACTGGGAGGAAATATTTGAAAAATATATCTATCTGAGAAAGGAATATATATATATGGTTTTAGGAAAGGGATCAGAGATCAGGGAAGTGGGAAGGGTCATGTTGGAAGGGGGATAAAAGGATTAGAATGATGAAGATAAGACTTACATATGTTATAATTCCCTCAAAAGATTGTAGCTATTATGCATTGCAAACATATTCTAATAAAACCAATAAAATAAATAAGATAGCTCCTAAAAAAAGAAAATAAAGAACTCAATTAAAAGATAGGTGAAGGACCTTATCAGACATCTCACCAAAAACATATGTAGATTAAAATAAGCACATGAAAATATACTTCCCATCAGTTGTCATTAGAGAACTGCAAATTAACACAACAATGCTAGACCACTACAAACTTATGAGAATGGCCAATGTATTCATCTGTTTTCTACTAAGGTAATGCAATTCCCAAGGCTGGGTGCTTTTATAAAGAAAAGAAGTTTATATGACTCATAGTTCTGAGAGTTAAAGTCCAAGATTGGGAGGGGAACATTTGTTTGGTCTCTGAGGAAGACCTCATAGGGAATGGCATCACTGTGGCAAGAACATGTTCAGAAATCACATGGTGAGACAGGAAGCCAGAGAGATTCAGTGATCAAGTTTGCTCTTTTTATGACAACTTGCTCTGATAAAAACTAACTGGGGCCCTATGTGAACTGCATTAATTCCTTTTAGGGGAGATGCCCCTCAACCTGATTATCATTCATAGGCTCCACTTAAAGGTTTCACCACATCTCAATATCACTACTTTGAGGACCAAGCTTCCAGCACATGAAACTTTGAAGCATATTCTTAAACCATAGCAGCTAACAACAAAATCACAGCACCACATGCTGGTAAGGATGTGTAGTAACAGGAACTGTCATTCATTACTGGCATGTGTGAAAAGTGGTGTAGCCACTTTTAAGGATGATTTTATGGTTTCTTGCTAAAAAATATACTTTTACTATGCAACTCAGCAAGCATACTCATTGGTATTCACCCAAAAGAGCTGATGACCACTCACATCCAGTTGTTTACAGCTGCTTTAATCAAATTGCCAGAACTTGGAAGCAACCAATATATCCATTAGCTGAGTGGATAAACTGTGTTATGTCCATATCAGGGGATATTATTAGTACTAGAACAAGTTATTAATTCATGACAGAAGGAGGATTACATGCATCAAAGCCATATGCAAAGACTATATACTGTATGATTCTAATTATACAACATTTTGGAAAAGGCAGAACTATGGAAATAGCAAAAAATGGCAGCATTTATAAGAGAAAAAGGGATAACTTGGTGGAGCACAGAAGGTTTTTTTTTTTTTTTCGGTACCAGGGATCAAACTCGGGTCCTTGCGCTTGCTCAGCAGTGGCGAAACCACTGAACTAAATCCCCGGCCCCACAGAGGATTTTTGAGGGCAGCAAACCCGTTTTGTATGATGGGGTAAGGGTAGACACAGGCCATTATACAATTGTCAAAACTCAGAGAATGCACACCAAAAGTGAATCCCAGGTGAGTCATTGTATCTCTAATGATTGATTAAAAAATCTTTAGCCTTATCAGAAAGGATTTGGGCACAGGACAGCCAAGTTTTGGGGCTTGTTGGTGGATAGTTTGAGAAAAGGGAGAAGAAAATTCAAAACCTGGGACAAGAGAATAAAGATACATATCTTGAGAGCCAGTCTAGTGATCAGCCTAAGATACAGAAGAGATCTTCATCCACCGTAAATCTCCATGAGGGTGGATTAAAACATAAAGTTTCAAGTTGCCTTCCAAACCTCCTCTTCCTTATAGGGGGTGCTCATTGGCACCAAAAGCATTAAAACCCTTAGCACCAAAACTTCTCCATTAAAGCAATCCTGCCCAACTAGTATAAAGTGGTTATAAAACAATATAGCAGCACTGACCAAAACTACACAGGATAGAAACAAACCTTTGATGTAGGCCTCTTTCTTACTCCCAATGATCCCTGACCCATCTTCTCTAAAAGTTTAAAAGTTAACATGTATTAATCTCTTTATTTGAATATATAGGGCCTTCTGTGATGCTAAAGGAAATGGTGTTGTCAAATTGCAACTTGAAACGTATAATTTGACATAACGCAGGTGTTTCTGGAAGATCTACAAGGTGCTAGATGATCTGGAAAAGTCTATATATTTATTTTTTGTACCGGGGATCGAACTCAGGTCCTTGTGCTTGTGAGGCAGGTGGCAGAACCACTGAGCTAAATCCCCGGCCCTACATTCTTTAGATAATCACATTTGTTGATGAGACCTTTTTTTCCATATGCTCAAAGCCTTATAAAAACCCCAATCTCTCACCCTGACTGTACAGTTCCTCTCTTGGAAATTCACCTACTCTTCCCCTTGACAATGTTGGCCTGAGCAAACTCTTTACTCTTTTCTTTGCCTGGGCAAATACTCTTATTTGCTGTGTCACTGGCCATTTCACAGGGCAAACCTTTACTCTATTTTTTTTTTCCATTATAGTTATTCTATTCCAGTATATACAGTGTTTCAGGCTAAGTTGTCAACTTTGTCCTCTATCTTTCCTTAACATCCTACAATCAGATAAATTGTCAATAATTTTCATCTAAGTTAAATACATAATTTGATATCAAGTATGTGCATTATTAAAGTTAAATGATGCAGGAGCAACATCAGTAAATACCATGACATAAGTAGCTACAGGAGCCCATCCTTTCACTGAAATAACGAACATCTAATTAAATCTACTGCCATATGTCTTTTACTACTGCCTGTGGATAAGTAAATCCATTATCTTCAGCCTTTAAATGTGGACTCATACCAGTGACTCTTTGGGGAGCTTCCAGGCCTTCAGTCTTGGCACTGCAGCCTTGATCCCTCTTATTCTGAGGCTTCCAGCTTCTGGGACTGTGCAGCTACTGGATCCCTTGGCTCTCCAAAGTTCAGATGGCCACTGTGGACTATCCCATCTCTGATTGGTAAGCCTATCAAATAAATGTCCATGCAGAATTTTACATATTAAAATTATAAATATAATTATAAAATTTATAATAGAGCCATTTCTGTGACTGTATCAGAACATATAGTTCACAAGCCTTGGGAAGCAGGACTTTGTAAAGGTTTCTTCAGGATGGGGCTAGTGAAGCCCTAGAATGCTGTGAGTAGATCCTGATGTATTGCAGTTCTGGCTATAGCTCAGAAGACCAGAATAATGAGAGGAAGAAAGGCTCATGGGGTTTCAGATGGTCACACTTTTGGGACTTGGACTAGGGACCATGCATATTATCTTCTGGCAAAGAACTTACTTTTATTTTGTCTGTATCCTAAGTCTTTGTATGAGGCTAAATTAACAGGGAGTGGACAAATGGATTTGATGGAGGAAATTTCAGTCCATTCTGACATTCAAGGTGTGGCCTGTGCATTACTGCCTGCTTTTAGGCAAATTCATAGCAAAAATCAGGAGCAAAAAGGAGAGCACAAAGATTTGTAGAAATTGAACTTTGATCAGAAAGTAAGCACATTTAAAGTTGAGGCAAAAGAGGTATGATTCCTGAAGAGATTAGCACCATTAAGGGCTGGGGATTTAGCTCAGTGGTTCCGCTGCTGCGCAAACCTGCAATCCCAGCACTCAGGAGAGGGGCAGGCCAGCCTCGGCTGTATGGGAAGATCCTGTCTCAGAAAAAGTTTACATGATAGGTACATCTGTGAGTACAGATCAGAGAAGTTAGAGATTAGCACCATTAAAAAGATACCAAATACTTTGAACCAGGACAAGAAGAAAGATGCCTAGAGAGAATCTCAGGAATCAGCAAGACCCTACCCATTTCAAGCTCAAAAGTGCAAAAAAGCAAACTTTTCATTTGAGAAGAGACCCTCTAGGGCCCCTGCTCAAGAAGGGCTGCCTGGGATATTGGTTCTCCAGGATTTATTTCATCATGCTCAATCATCAGATACTCAGAGGCTGCCTCAACCATGGTCCAAAGGGACCTGATTACTATTTGAGCTGACAGTAGTCCTTGTCATCAACCACATGATGCTCTTTTTTTCAGGCATGCAGAATGCAAGTGGCATCATGGAAGCTTTCACCCAGATTTCAAAGGAAGGCCTGTGAGGCCGGGCAATGTGCATCTGAGAGGGCAGTGCATGAAGCTGTGGGAATGAAGCTGAAGGTACAGTGAAGACCCCAAGAAGTTGGAGGTGCCAGTGATGTGGAACATCTGCTGAGGAAAGCCACAGACAGTGCCAGAGGCAGCCCAAGAAAGGTCTCATGTGGGCTATCACCAACACGGTCATAGGCCAACTAACCCCTGTGGAATTCACATCTCACCACCATGTTCCCTGGATGCTAGACCTAAAGCTACAAGACTTAATGTTTTCTCTGCTTTGTTTCAGCCTTGTTTTTGTCCTATTCTTTTCTATCTCCCTCTTCCTCCCTTTTGCAACTTGAGTGGAGTAAGAAATGCTTAGCAGATTAACAAAACATACTTCTGGTTGTGTCTGTGGGGTCTTTTCAGAGATGATTGGCATGCAGGCCAGCAAACTGAGGGGGCATGACTCACCCTGGTTATGAGTGGCACCATGCAATAGTCTTTCAGCCTGGATAGAATAAAGGCTAAGAAGAAGGAAGTTGGTCTGCATTTGAAAACCTGCTTTAGCTGGTGTGTCTTTTACTACTGCCCTTGCCTGTGAACAACAGGCTCCAACTTCTTTAGCCTTCTAATGCATTAAGTGACTCTTCAGGGACTTTCTAGCCTTTCACTATTAGATAGGTGCTGCATCCTCAACTCCTCTTGTTCTGCAACTTCCAGCTTCTGTGACTGAGAAGCTCTGGTATCGTGTGGCTCTCCAGCAGGCAGAAAGTATTGTGGACTATTCCAGCACTGATCAAGCAAGGCTATCTAATAAGTCCCCTTGCATAATTTAATATATATGTTTTCTATTGATTATTTTCCTCTAGGGAACCCTAACCAAAACACCACCCAACCTATTCTATAAGAAATGCTAAAAGAAGTTATTCAAACTGAGAAAAATTTGCTAATAAGGAAGAAAAAAATCAAAAGGTATAAACTCACCAGTTGTAGTAACTATACAAATTCAGAATGCTCTGTTCTTACAAACATCTTGCATAAATCATTTATATCTTCAGTCTGAAAATAGGAAAAGATGTAAAAGAAGACATCAGAAATTCAAAATGTGTGTGGATTGAGTGCAATTGTATAGATTTTTTTCATATATATATAGGCTTTGTTGTCAGCACAGTTAAATGAGAGTCCTGTGTTCATTTTTAGTAGCTTTTCTAAGCCTAGATTTTTTTTCAGTAATAATTATCCACTTCACTCTGTCTTTGTTTCCTAGTCTTTAGACCTTATTAGCTGAGTTTTAATGGTTTTATCATTTTATCTTCTCTGTGACTTTTGTGAGCTGCTTTTGAGGCTGGCATAAATACATGAGTAGTGAATGAATTTTTCTACTTGATATCTCTAGAAGGATATGCTCCTACTCCATGCAATACTGAACTCATCATTCCCCTTTTAGTTACTTTTCTATAGATCTTCTTCCAAACTTGATTTACACTGGGAACCTGACTTCTGTTAAGATCCTTTCTCCTCTGCCCTTTTAGGCAGTGGGGAATGTCAACAACCCTTCTCCAATGCTTTGCCTGCTAACCCACTATTGCATTATCTTAGAGGTGATAAAGAATCTCTTGGGACTTATTAGACCCCCATCTCATCATGGCCTTTCTGCCTTCAGTTTCAGCCCATTCTAAATCCTCATTCCAAAAACTAATCACCTCCCCAAAGTCTTATGTTACTTATTTGTACAAACACCTGGCCTATACAAGCAAGCTGGTTTTCTGAGTGTGGCTGTAGTCCATATGTCATTCTCTAGGCCTTCAGATTATTGCTCTCACTTTCCTAACTTTGTTTTATACACCTGCCTCAGCTTGGAATGACCTTTCTTTTCTATTAGAATCTTACACAGTCTTTTAAGATCTCTCTGAATCTTCTGGGAAGTCTCTCCTGCACCTTCCAAGCTCCTGTAAATCACCATGCTATTATCCGGCACCTGCTGTCCTTCTCTGACAACAGGGTTTAAGGGCAGGGTGCACTTAGAGAAAAAAAAGCCAAATTTGGTGACTGCCTTACCAGAGGTGCAAGAGGTGACTCGGTGTTGACTGAGCTCAGAAGAGTTCCAGAGGCTGGAGAAAGGTTAAGGGAAGGTCCTGGAAAACTAGGAAAGCTTAGGGGTAGCATCAGATCCGGGGATGTTGAGTCAAGATGGGAAGCATGGAGGATAGGGAAATTCTCTGATGATTTCCCAGGTCTCTAGGACAGTAAGTGAAGGAGGAGGCACAGCAGGGACAAAGTTCCCACAGATTCAGAGCTCTTCTACCTGACTCCTCAAGAGCTTTCCCAGTTTTATTTGGCTCTGGGGAATAAGGAGGAGAAGCTTTTAGCATGATTCCTCTTCCCCATTTAGCAGCCTAGATTTGTTCTAATTGTGCTGACTGTGAACTCCCAATGACACTTGCCCAGCATCATATTCACTCACCCACATGTCCCACCATGCTCTCTACAGTCTCTCAATTGCATCTACCCAGACAGGGAAGAGCAACTAAGCAGATGGAGCCACGCTAGCTCATGAACTTACTCTGGCAATGGAAACTGGAGCCAATGAGCCAGAGCATTTGGGCTGTAGGATATTAGGAGGAGGACAAGAATTTTTTATTTGTATTATTTTGTCTTTTGTTTATCAATACAATCAATATTAAGTTGCTATCATTTCAAAGTAGCTTGTTTATTCATAAAAATGTTTTATTTATTTTTTGGTACTGGGGATCGAACTCAGGACCTTGTGCTTTCAAGGGAGGTGGAAGAACCACTGAGCTAAATCACTGGCAAAATTGTTTCATTTTAATTAGCACATGTTTGCAGTGTGTAATGACTACATTCATTGTGGAGAGTTGGTTCATGTATATAACACATCTTAATTCTACTTCCCCTTTTCTTCTCCTTCTTTCCCTCCCTCCATCTATTAGCTTGTTATTTAAAGAAGATATTTTTTGTAAGCAGCATGGTAACCATAAAATAAAACCTAAAATAGATACACAAAAATAATAAGCAAGAAATTAGAACACATTACTAGAGAAAATCACTTGACCACACAAGACTGGAAGACAGGGAGAAAGAAAGCAGCTGTAAAAACAAATAAGACTTAGAAAATAATAAAGTGGCAGTAGTAAGACCTTACATATTAATAATCACCTAAAATATAGATGAGATAGTTTTCTAATTAAAAGATAGTGAATTAAAAAAATTTCAACTACATGTTGCTTACAAGAAACTCACTTCATCTCTAAGGATACTCAGAGACTGAAAGTAAAGGAATGGAAAAAAATATTTCATGTAGATGGAATAAAAAAGAATTAGCCATAAATTTATTGCATAAAATAGATTTTATAAAAAAGTAATAAATAAGTCATGATATAATAATAATGGGGACAATTCAGCAAGATGAAATAATAATTATAATAATAATTATAAATATATGTGCACCTAATATTAGAGCATAAAATATATACAGTTATTAAAAGTGTTAAAAGGAGAGACAGAATCCAATACAATAATGGTAGAGGATGATAACACCCCACTTTCAACAAAGGACAGACCATTTTGAATGAAAATCTCTAAATAAGGAGCAAGGACTAAAGTACATCTTATACCAAATGGACTGACAAGCATCCATGGAGATTTCATTTTAAAACTGCAGAATACACATTCTTCTTAACAACATGTGGAATATTCTCCAGGTTAGATCAAAGCTTAGGCCACAAAGCAAGTTTCAACACAATTTTAAAACTTGAAATCATATTGAGGATCTTTTCTGACTACAGTGCAATAAAAATAGAACCGATATAAGAAAAACTTTGAAGCTTTACAAATACATGGAAACTAAATAACATCCCTCTAAATAACAATAAATCCATGAAGAAATTAAAAAGATTATTCACTATGATCAAGTGGGCTTTATCCCAGGAATGTAAGGATGGCTTAACATATATAAATCAATACATGACATATTATATAAACAGGATGAAGGACAAAAACCATATGATCATTTCAATAGATTTAGAAAAAGCATTTGATATAAATTAACATCACTTCTTGACAAAAACTGAACAAATTAGGTACAGAAGGAGCATGTTTCAAGATAATAAAGTCCAAATAAAACAAGCCCACAATTAATACTACGCTTAACAAGGAAAACCTGAAGGCTTCCCCTCTAAGATAATGAACAAGAAAAACATACCCACTTTTACCTCTATTATTGTCCTACCCAGATCAGTTAGGTAATAGACATAAAGGGATTCTGAATTGGAGAGGAAGAAGTCAAACAGTCATTGATAACAAATTATATGGTTGTACATTTATAAAATACAAAAGACTCTACCAAAAACTACTAGAATTAATAAACAGATTAAAAAAAGTTGCAAGATACATAATGAACATGCAAAAATCAAGCTGGACATTTTTTTTGCACACACCTGTAATTCCAGTGGGTCAGGAGGCATAGACAGGTTTACAATTTCAAGCCCAGTCTAGGATATTTACCATGACCCTGTCTAAGACTAAAAAAATAAAAAGACCTGGGGATACAGCTCAGTGTGAAGGCCTTGCTTTAAATACTCATGACCCAAACCAACCAGCCTACCAAACAAATATAAAAGGCAAAAATCAGTAGCACTTCTATACATCAATGGCAACTTATCTGAAAAAGAAATCAAGGAAGGAATTCCATTTACAAAAAACAAAAAACATGTAGGAATAAAGTTAACTAAGGAAGTGAAAGATTTCTACACAGAAAATTATGAAACATTGATTAAAGACATTAAAGGAGATATAAAATATGAAAATTTAGTCCAGGTTTATTCATTGGGATTTTGTTAAAATGACCATACCACCCAAAATGATCTATAGATTCAGCATAATCCCTGTCTAAAAAAGAATGAAATTCTTCACAAAAGTTGAAAAAAATTCTAAATTTATATGGAACTAAAACTCTTTCAATAGACAAAGTAATCTTGAGTAAAACAAAGTGGGTGATATTATACTATATGATTTCCAAATATACTATATATTCAAGATGGCATGGTGTTGGAAGAAAAGCA